GCTTAGACTTCTGGAGGACATAGGGACCCCCTTTTCATCATTCTGCTTCATTCTATCTCTATTCTCATGCTCTGCAGATAGTTCAATCTCTAATGTTATGCTCTCTTTGCTTCTCCTCTCCACTGTCGCTACAAGCATGCTTAGTGTGAGGGATTGTATTTGAGTCAATGAGTCGATGCAATCAACTGGTTTTCCTTAAATAGAAAACTTTGAGTCAATTTGACTGGATGATCTGGTTGAACTGTAAAGTGCCTTGAGATGACATGTGTTGTGAATTGGCGCTATAGAAATAAACTTAACTGAATTTAATTGTTGTTACCACAACTTAATAAAACAGGATTTTTAAAAAAACTATTTAGCATTTTTTTTAAATCTACATCAGAAATGGTTAACACATTTTTAATAAAGCTTGGCGTAACATATGTACAGTCTACTGTTTGACCATAGTTTAAAGGGGTATATATTTTAAATCCATATATCCAAAGATATCTGACAGATTACCACGTCCTTCTGGGATATCATTTGTATTTTTGTGTGTTTTTCCACTTACTTTTTCCTAAATTGATTAAGCCAGGCATACACTGTATGATTCTTTGCCTTTTTTGGGCCGATTTTCCAGTCTTGTCAGAATTTTTCGATCGGGCGAACTTTCAGCCTGATCGTGCTTAATGTAGTATACAGGGGGTAACGAGGGGCGATCAGCCTCTCACGATCACCTCCCGATCAGGAATCGTGAGGTCGGGAGAAAATCAAACATTTTTGAAATTCAGTCGGCCTTCGTGGGCAAATCACTCAGTGCGCAAACAAGGATTCTTCTTCTTCCTCTAAGAATCAAAAAGCAGAAGCATGGCGAGGGTGTGGGTGAAGTGGAATTCTTTTTGTAAAATTGACAGATCGTAGTAGCCACATTTGCTCAGCCATGTCTTTGTCCAAATACATTGTTGCCTTTTCTTTTAAGGGCTTTCAGCACAACATGGCACAAATTGCCAAGGCAGCGCGTTTCTCTTTAGTGAGCTACATATTCCTCTTTTACTCGTTTGGCTTACAGATAGACGAGTCCGAGTAGCGCCATCTCACTGCAGAGAGGAGTCCGACGCAGTTTTTAGACATACATTGTGAGCAGGTGGATCGCATCAGAGCGTCGCGCCCCACAGTGTGAGAACATACATTGAGAGCTGCGAAATTTTAAACCCTGCGGTTTCGTTGTACAGTGTGAGCTGTAGCTGCGTGCGACGATTGAACAAATCGTACAGGTTACGCCCATCTTCAGTAAATAAAGCCTTTCCTGTATATCTACAATAACAGCACTGCTTTCAATGCAATAGGGAAACAACTTAGCATCTCCTAGTGAAATTTGAGGCATAAGAAAAGCTCCAGCATGAAAAAAGAAACATTTTATTCCAAGTGGGATAAGACCGGAATAGTGCCAGGAATACGGTACGACTATCAGTAGGGAGCTAAAGTTGCAGAGTTGTTGTATGTGGGAGTAAATGTCATTATTAATGCTAATACTGGTGATAACAATGCTATTCTTGGTCTTATAAATAGATTAGAGGTGAGTATTGGCATGAGTGTTGCGATTCGATACCTGTCGCGATACTTGGGTCACAATATGATATTATCACGATATTGCAGTATCACTATATATTGCCATATTTTCAGCAAGTGCTGTATATTTTCATCAGAAAATATTGATTAGGTATTATTATCCATGTTGTTTGGGGTTTTTCTTCCACTGTGACTGACTCCAATACAGATTTGGTGCTGCACGCACAGTTAAAGGGCTCCACAGCGCTTTCTGCCAGAGTGGTGGTGCAGAGGTAGCCCATTTTCCCATCAATGTTTTGTGTAACCATTTTTTTTTTGAAAATCGATACTAAGAAGTGAAAGATCGATATTATATTGGGCAGCCGAATATCACGATATATCGCCAAAACGATTATTTCCCACACCCCTAAAATAAATAGATAAATTGTATAAAATAAACAAAGTCGGGGGGGGGGGGGTCACAGCTGTCACAGCTGCTATAATTCAGAAGGCGATTCAGGATCATTGATGCTATGTCTCTGTTTGAGTTTACAAGAAAAATCTATTTTATTTTCTTTGATGAATTTGATAAGAGGCTCTAAAGATGTTTGACTACAACTTAGTTCCTGTAGATCGTTGTATATAAATTATATAAATGATCTCCATTGGTCTTTAACCACGCTGAGCTGTTGCTTTACTGCAAGGCACTGCAGGCTTAATGTTTTTTTTGTTTTTTTTTATGGTTCTGACAGCAGAGGGTGCCATGTCTGGTAATGTCAGCTTGTTGCACCCAGTGATGGAATTCTCTTTAGGCTCATAAGGACTGGTTTTAATTCCCTTCCTTACCATCATATGTTTCTTACTGTTAATCCCATGAAAGATGAATGTAGAGGAATTAGGAGCTCTGATTTGCTATACTCAGATAAAGCCAATGTCTCCTTAAGTCAAACATGAGTGGGGGTTAAGTGGCAGTGTGGTCAGGATGAGGGATGCTGTGGGCGATATGGTCATTAAATCATTGTTTTTTTATTCTATTGTGAAAGGGACAAAAGTGAAAATTAAAAAAACAACAAGTCTTCATTACTTTTCGCTATATTCACTGTATGGCTGTGACTGCATGTCACAGCTATCCAACTCTCATAACAACAAATAACACTTTGAATATATACCCATGCAAAATAAGCTTCATTGGGACATCAATTACATACAAGAGTGGGATTTTTAGTGCTAAACACCCGACACCCTAAAAACAGATTGGTCAACACAACCAAAAACATTGGATGAATTTTACCAATCTGTCTAGTAGTTCTCAACTTTGAAAGCCAAAACCAGGGTTTGAACCAACAATGCTTTGGTTGAAGGGGAAACAGCCAGACAGTCAGACCAGTAAACCATCTAACCAAAATTGGTTTAAACAACTAGATAGGATGTTTTTTCCAACCAATCTAATCTTGCAGAGTAAAGTGCAGAGTAACGGCATATAATCCTCTTCTTTGAAATGCATCAATCCCCCAAGAGATAATAATAAAAGATGAAAGACTGTTTACAAATTGACAACTGACAGTTTACCTTTTTTTGTGGGGATGTGGGCGTTGGGCGAGATGTTAAACATAATTTATTCTAATTTATCATTTAGATGATAAAAAAAAAGTTTTTATCACGATAATGATAAATGATGCGATAAATGCCCACCCCTTAATGAGGGAAAGTGGAGCCTCAGTGGATCCTCCACCTGATTGCCCACACGTTTTCCGAGCCCCTCTGCATATAAACTCCCTATTTCTTTTAGTACTCATTGCTGGTGTCTTCTATTTACTTTCATTGTCTGACCATGGTATATGAATATAACATCTAAGAATGTTTTACATTTATTATTAAAGAGACAAATAACTGCACTTGTGCTCTTTGCTACAAAGCCAAACATGATATTATCCCCCATTAAAAGTAAAAATCTGTGATACATGCACAGTGGTTATATGAATATGGTAAAAAAACAAAAAAAACCATCACAGCCTTTTGTCAAAATGTTTCAGTTTAAAAGCCTTTTTTTTGTCTGTTGCAAAATTATTCTCTCCCCCTAGTTGCAGTTTTCTCCTCTCTTTAGCTAAGGTCTGTGTTTTTATTCTTATCAGAAAGTGAATGTGAGCTTTTAGGGAGCTAAAAGCATCTTTGAGTGTAAAGAGATATAATCTTGTAATAAACATGTGTTCTCCTGATAAATATGCTTTTATATTCGTCTTTAGAATAATCTGAAAATGATTTGATTCTGAGCTGGATATGTAGGTATGTTGGTCTATTGTTGAAAGGTTTGGTTAAATTCTGCTTAGTATTATCATAAAGATGGGTTTTTAAATGTTGTTTTGTTTTCTACAATCATTTACTAATGAGACTATCTGCACTTTACTGTTTATAATGAAGTCTGTAAATTCATTAAAAAAAAATCAAAGAAAATCAATAAAAAAGAAATTTACAGTGCCTGTGTTTTCTTTTACAAACATATTTTTTTGGGAGAAAACATCTTTTATAACCACCACGTTATGTGATTTTAAAAAAGGCGTATTTTTAGTGAGCTTTGTGCATCAGCAGCGCTAATAACAGTGTTTAACAGGCTGTATCTCACAGGCTGGAGACAGAATGTACAGCAGCAGCCGCAGGAAGGAGCATCAGGTTCTGTCATGAACTCAGTGACACCACAGCCTGCAGTACCGGACACGCCCACTAGATGGTGACATTACCCCTTTTTTGAAACTTTCCAGTGAATTGAGCAGCGCGGAAAGAGAGATTATAGGGGAAAAATACAACAAGGTCTCTCATATTACATTTTGGAGCGTTTATCTGAAAACAAAACCAAAACAGCAGGATGAGGAACACGCACTTCAAAGTTCCTAGTTCGGATCCGAGCATCCGAGTGTGAGAGATGACAGATGGACTGGAAGCAGAAAGGACCAGCAGATGTCCTGGTATCAGAAGAAAATATCCCCCCCACCCAAAAAAAAAAAAAAAAAAGGAGAAGAGTAAAAGTGGAAACGCAAATAAGAGAAGAGGCATATATAGGGGAGGGAGGGACAAATAAAAAGAAAACAACAGAGAAAGAAGTTAGAAGGGGAGGGGGGGGGGTTGTTTTTATCCTCATGTGGACTCAGAGGGGTCAGTGAGTGCAAATGTTTTTAGACTGCCTGTCAAAACAATGCAGCTACCTCAACATCCCCACTTCTCTCTGTAATGCAAACAGACAAATGCATCAAAAATAAATGCGAATGCATGAAAACAACTCCAGAAAATCACTTTTTTCTTTTCTAACTCTGCAGCAGCACAACCAGTGAAACATCAACAGTGCCTTTTAAAAATCTGCGTCACTGACTGCGCCACCATCATCCGCTCTGTTTGGGTTTGAGCCGTGACATAAACCAGCATGGGGGGAAGTGAAGAGCTGCAGCGTGGAGTAGCTCTGCCATGAACAAATGATGTCTTACCAGGTAAAGCAGGAAGGTGTGCAGGCCGGTGCCAAGACCGACGGAGGAGAGGATACCCAGGCCGACCCAATAGGCGCACCACAGTGTCTTCTTCTCCATGGAGCACACGTACTGCAGGGGCCAAAGAGAGGGACAGTCCACCACATGGCAGAGCCACATGCATAAGGGGGGGGAGGGACCAGAGAGAGAAGGTACATGAGTGAAAGTGTGAAAAACAGAGGGTACTTTAAAGGGTGGGAGAGGACAAGTGAGCGAGAGGAAGAGAGAAAGAGAAACCTTCAGAGGGAGAGGTTGTTGGGTTTCAGAGCAGAGCAGAGCTGTAGGGTAGGAGTGTTCAGCACTCAGAGAAGAACAGCACCATTATTCTTTCTGGTGGCAACCAGCTCTTACACAACATGTAAAATAACACAAGCCAAGATCTCTCTCTCTGTCTCCCACTCTTTCTCTCTCTCTCTCCACCACTATGACTTTATCCCTCCATTTTATACCTCCTCCCTTCAGCCAGGGCAGGTTGTTTCCAAAAGGAAGCATCAAGAATCCAGATTACGGGAAAAGAGGAGGGGACTTTAAAGGGTTTGAACGGAATATATGTCAGGAGGTTGGGAATGGTGAGGGGGGGAGGCTTACCAAAGACTCAATTTCCCAGGAAACCCAGGAAAACAAAAACAGCACATACTGTCTCTGTTTGCTGGCAGAGTGCTGGGAAGTGAGGGGCCAGCCATGAGCAATTGTTGCTGAGAAGAAGTGATTACACAACTCACAGGCCTTTGCATACAAAACTGAAAAGAAAATGCCAATGGGACGTGAAAAGAGTTTATCCAAAACAGAGATAGTGGGAGAAAAAACTTCAGCGGAAGAGCTGCATGCAGATTTACAGAATGACTGGAGGATGATTTTAGGGAAGTTATAAAGAAAGCAGGAAAAAAAAATAGTCTTATGTTATTTTAAGTAATGCTATGACAGAATGATGCGTCGATTAAAAAGCTTCTCAATTACAGGATAAACAGTTTCTAATAAGGTGTATGCCTCTTAAAGCTAGAGCCTATGTACTGTAGCTGGTTACATCACTGACAGCCCCTATGGTATTTTCATATAAATAACAGTGCAGTCACCTTCTGATGTGGTCCCTCAATGCGGTAAGCAATAGAGAGAAGCATAAGAAGCATCACAAGGCCAAACACCATCTGTCTTTGATGCCAAAGCCTAAATAGAGAAGAAAAAGACAAGAAAAGAGGAAGGAAAATGAAACAAAAACAGAAAACACGATGGGGAGGAATTGTGTTTATAGGCAGAAAAGTTGGAGTGAGTAAAGCAAAAGGATTTTACGGGGAGGGGGGGCATGTAAGTTAAGACTGCAAGTATTAGTAACAGCTTTTAAAGGAGCAAGATCTTTGTTTTATGTAGGATACCTGAAGAAAATGTCTGAACTACCTCCTCAGAACATCATCAAGTTCTGCGGAGGCTTGTTTATTGACCATTCATTGGATTCTATTGTATTTGGACAAATATTTATTTTAAATTTAAGTGGTGCGGACGGTGAAGACTGGAGCTTATTTTTTGTTTTCTATTTAATTTAATTATTGTAAGAGGCATGTTAAAGGCTTTCTGATTGACATTGCTGTCTAAAGCCAGTAAGATATTTATATTTAATCCACAAATCTGCTAAGGATTATTACCCTTACCTGTCTGAGGACCAACAGAGTTGCAGAGTCAGTCTAACACATTTTTCTATTCATATTTTTTTCCACCACTTCTTATTGTTTTCTATTCCTATTTGAGTATTTTTAATAACCCATGTCACTTTTCACACTTTGCACATCCTTCCTCTTTATGCATGTCTTTCCAGCTCTTAAAGCTACAGTGTTTAATAATTGCAGGTATTTACTGACAGAATGTAAGACATTATGCATAATTATTTTATTAATTATCATATGAACTGAAAGTCTCAATCTTTATTTTTTTGTTGCCTTATGAAGCAGAAATCAGGGGCGGAATTAGGAAATTTGGGGCCCTAGGCAAAAACAGGCATGAGGCCCTCTGAACTGAGAAAACAACACATAAAACAGACCCAATATACAGATACATAATTTTTTATAGAATAGACATACATTAATAGAATAGACATCCATTATTTGTTCTAGGTTTTGTCCCTCTCTTCTTGTCCCTTTTCTTCTTGTTTTCCTCTCTATGTTTTGTACTCAGCTGACTTTTCATGCTGTCTCTAAAGGAATGAAAGATTTTTTCCAAGCACTAAGCTCACTTAGCTGATTGCTCCTTCCTGTGTTTCCAAAAAGGCGACGGCAAAAGTAAATAACCCAGTCCTTCTTTTCACTGTAGACAAGCCATGATCTGCTTATCTGTTCTCCATTTTTCATTTGGATGAAAAAATAGCTGCATGAATCATGACAGCAGACAAGATAGAGGAGAGCAGGAGGCGGGGTTACCAATCTACTTGCTCAGGAGAGCAGAGTTCGCTGCTTTTATATGTTGTTGCCAAATTCTCCACTAGTAGAAAAAAGTCGCTAGATTTGGTGCTAGATGTTTTTTTGAAATAAAAGTACTTGAGAGGTCTCAAAATAGTATATAGCGACTAAAACGCTAAGTTGGCAACACCCCTCTTTGCATCGTTTGTTTTGAAATGGTTTGCTGCGTTCTGATGACATTTTAGCAAAAGGATTGTGATAAAAAAACATATTTAATGTGCACAAGTAAGGAATAGCTGTATTAACTATACATATAAACAGAGTTTTATGGGGCCCCAGGAACTTGGCACCATAGGCAACTGCCTATTATTGGCCTAATGGTAAAGCAAATCACATGCTGAGAAGGTTGGAAGTACCTGGTTTGATCTCCAAAGAGTCTCATTATGGGTCCGTAAGCGAGACCCTTCATGACAGATTTCTTCCAAGTGGCAGGATCAAATGCATAGGAATGTAAAATGACTATACTAACATAAAGATTATTGATAATATTAGTCACAGGAATGCTAATAGAATATAAATCCCAGTTAAATTGCTAACAGAGTAAAGCAAAAGCAAAATCCCTTGGTTTTCCAATGTGGCTATCGTCCAGTTGAGCATGGCATCATTTCTAAATGCAACTAAATGCGAAGTAAACGAACTTCAGGAGAAAAACACCACAAACTATGAACTCAGTTAAAGCGGAAAGAATATATATATGTACCCTCAGGGTCCAACCGTGAGGGTACATGAAATGCTGAGCTCTTTAGATACAACATGCTAGTTTAAAAGCACTGTTAATATAGTTAATATATAAATGATCTAAAGCAATACAAACATTTGTTTCAGCATTTCAACACAGGACTTAACATGTCTAAAAGCAATGTTAGTTTAGTTAATCTGACGTTTAAAGGACAGCTTATAAGGATTAAAAGGAAGGAACTAATCTTTCAATGACTGGGAGATAGTTGTAACAAGTTAGAACCTGTGCTTTAGAAATGTATTATATTAATGTTTTATACCAGTTTATAGTTGCAGATACAGTTGCAGTATCTTGTTCTACCGCACCCATTTTCAAATGTCACCAAAAAATTGTAACCGTAGCAGTGAGGCAGAATCCTGGCTTTTCATTCTTCTTAGATTATCTAGATGCATAAATGAGCTTCTTGCATTTTTGCTGTGAGCATTATTGGTGGTACTTTGGATTTCCACTGGTGTAGTGGTTTATATGGTACACATAAAAATCACACAATTACTGTATTGGCAAGGTAAACAAACACAGTGAAGTGGGAAATAGTGAAGCAGGAACATTCACTTGTAGCAACTAGTGTGTTTTGTTTAATTCTTTAGAAGGAAAATGACATCCACCTGAACTTTACTGTTCATGAACTGGAAAACCAGAGGGATTGCCTAACTGATATGTTCACTTAACTCATGATTAAAATAAAACCTAATGAGAAGGTTTTATATTACATTTTCTAGAATGTTACTAAACCACACTGATCAGTACTTACAGAGATTAAAAAGTTGAAAATTCCACTTAAATTCCCCCTAAATGGTTGTTGTTGTTATTTGACTGGAGTCACGCTTACCTTAAATGCAAGAGATTTAATTTAGACTTGGCTTTGAAAAGCCAACATTTTCTGAACTTAAAATTGGATTCAAGTCCCTTTTACTAAAATTTACATTTCAGATTAATAACAGGACACATACATTTTGTCTCATTTCTCAAATGCCAACCTGTAATATTTTTTCATTATTTTATAGAATCATTTATCAAACAAAGCCCTTATTCTTATGTTAGTGCAGCAGTACTTTGTTAGGAATCCAGTTTGTGTGGGTTGTTTTTGTGTTTTTCTCTCTCTACCGCCAGGTGGTGCTCTTCTCCTCCTTGGGCCTCCCTGCACACCTCGTTGGATCATTACCAGAGGAGTATTTGAGCAGCGGGCTATCACTACCTTGAGGCCAGAGTGTTTGCCAGTTTTGGGTACTCTAGCCAAGCTGAGATTAGCAGAGTCTAACCAAAGCTTTGTTTCTCTGAGTCTTATCAATTCAATTCAGTTTATTTATATAGCGCCAAATTCATAACACATGTCATCTCAAGGCACTTTACAGTTCAACCAGATCATCCAGTCAAATTGATACAAAGTTTTCTAATCTAAGGAAAACCAGTTCACTGCATCGACTCATTGACTCAAATACAATCCTTCACACTAAGCATGCTTGTAGCGACAGTGGAGAGGAAAAACTCCCTTTTAACAGGAAGAAACCTCCAGCAGAACCAGGCTCAGTGTGAGCGGCCATCTGCTGAGGCCGACTGGGGTTCAAGGAGAGAGAAGCAGAGACACAAAAAGCAGCTGTAAAAGGCGGCCTCGTCCAGGAAACACACAGCCAGGCAGACAAGCTCTTGTTTTGTCTTTGCTCTCCGGCAGGAAGCCCTTCCTGTGTAACTGGATAACATGGACCTGCTCCCCCTGGAAGGATTACTGAGTACACACTGAGCAGGGGTAAACCTCCACATGATCCGTTCAAGTCCTCTTTGAAAAACCAAGTACAGTAACAGTCCGCTCCTTTACTCCTCTGGGTCCAACGTATGTCCACCTGTCCGCTCTCCAACGAGTTCCCTCTCCTCCAAACTATATTCAAGGAGCCCCCTCAAACGTGAGTTTCTCTCCAGCTATATTCAAGCCTCAGTCAATTTTCCTCCCATCTCTGTGACCTCTCCTTCAGACTTTCCAGTTCCAGTTCACCAGTCCACTGAGTTCCAGCTCCTACTTCTGTGTTTCATCAACATTCAATAAACCTGTTAAACTTTTTCCCTTGGTCTCTGAGTGGTTCTCTGCATGTGGGTCAGATCACTTAAACCAATTATGACATACTTGTTATGCTACTGTAACAAGTAGTCCTTCACAGAAGGAATTAGAAGCATCTGAATATCTGCCTACCATTACAGAATAGTTTCAAGGAGTATTTACAGTTTTATATTAATCCAGGCTCACAGAATAAGACGGGTTTGTAAATATCATAATCACACCATATTGGTGAATATTTCACTGACAGGCAACCAAAACTATTGAATGTCTCTTTAAAAATGATCTAAGAGGAACAAGTTGTATTAATGAGGGATAGCTGACGAATCAGAGGCAAAGAAAAAGAAACATCATCTAAACAAACTTGTGTGATGACAAAAACAATCAAAGCAAGAGTTGCTATTTACCAGAAAAAGATCAAATAATTATCAGCCACTCTTTTTAACCAGCATCAAATCCAATTGTTATACATCATTCCCAACTAATTGGCTCATTTCCTTTCCAGGGATATGAGGCTGAAGGCACAGCCGCATTAAGACCATTTTGTTGTGAGCCTCACTTTAAGAAGAAGGCTTTGAGTTAAATCTACCATAACGATTCCTCCCCTTCCACTCCAAAAAAAAAAAAAAAAAAGGATCTGTTTACACCTACAGAACAGTAAAGGCACAGCAACAGACAGTGTGATGCCTTGTGGACTTTCTGGTCATATGTTTTACATTACAAACCACTTCAGATAAAAATCCACAATAAACTTCTCTGCACGCTTGTAACCCATAATGCTCTCACTTATATGCCACCCTAGCAGTTAGAACACCATGTGTTGTGAGCGTTGCGTAAATAACAGCTTCTCTAAGTCGGAGCACTGCTTGTGGTGCTTGTGGTTAACCACATCCTCTTGTAGTTTTAGCATAAACACGTTGTCCTGACACACTTA